GAAAACCCCTTTTTATATCTCCCAATTAGTCAACTCCTGAGATTCTCTAGTAAGCCTATAAAAAGCTATCACAAGGCCCAGGCTCATTCCAAAGAAACCACCATCCATCACATACACAAACAAAGTTAAAGAAAAATAAGGACAACAATGGCAAGAGAAATAGAACCTCTAATAGTTGGAAGAGTGATAGGAGATGTTATAGAAATGTTCAATCCAAGTGTGACTATGAGAATCACTTTCAATTCTAACACAATTGTCTCTAATGGTCACGAGCTCGCGCCTTCTCTTCTCCTCTCTAAACCTCGAGTCGAAATCGGCGGTGGCGATCTTCGTTCATTCTTCACCTTAGTAATAATTAACTATCTTTCTTCTTAACCTAAGTATATATATTATGTGCATAGAAATAACTAAGAACGTTAAGACTCTCTTCTAACATTTATCTTTTGGTTTTCTTTTTAACTCGGAAAGATCATGATCGACCCCGATGCGCCGAGTCCTAGTAATCCTTATATGCGTGAGTATCTGTATTGGTACGTAGTAAAATTTATCAGGATGTCATATAACACATTTCTTCACATATATAACAACAACGACAATGTATAATATGTTTGTTATTTTCTAAAAAAAAAAAATGATAATATGCCTTTTTATGATATATAATGATTTCATCGAATTCAGGATGGTGACAGACATTCCTGGGACAACGGATGCTTCTTTCGGTAAGAATAAATCACATCATAAACTATACATGTTAAAAAATATTAAGATGTTGAATGATTTCGGATTTTAAAGATTAAAGGCTCACTATCTCAAAGATTTTGTTTCCCTAAACTAGTTTTTGTCTTATGTTTGTTATTTTCTAAAAACTATTTAGTTTTGATTTTAATCTAAAAAATATTTAGTTTTGATATTAATCTAAAAACTCTCCCATCCATTTAAGGCCTAAGTATGTTGTAACAAGTTGGACCAAATCGATTTGGTCTTGGTAGATCCGGTTGTATATATATGGACCGGTTTTAAACATTATTGGCACAATCCGGTCCAAAACGTATCTACATTACTTAATGACCCAACCACAACATCTTTGGTCAAAACTCATTCCCATACATAGACATTTTTGGAAGAACAAAAGAAATTGATGGTTGATCGATTGATTGCAGGGAGAGAGATAGTGAGATACGAAACGCCCAAACCGGTGATCGGGATACACAGATTCGCGTTTGTGCTGTTCAAACAGAGAGCAAGGCAAACGGTGAAGATAGCGCCGAGTACAAGAGAGCGTTTCAACACAAGAGATTTCTCTTCTTTCTTTGGTCTTTCTCTACCTGTTGCTGCTGTTTACTTCAATGCCCAACGTGAAACTGCTCCTCGAAGACGTCCTTCTTATTAATCAACTAACTTATATATATAATAACTCTACTCTCTATCTTGTTTCAATGTGTATGTTAAAACCAAAAGAAAGGAAGAAAAGAGTATACTGTATGTTTATTCAAAATGTTTCTACAAAAGCATATATGTTACAATATCGTTTCATGAAATAATCAAAGATTAATATAATAAAACATATGATCAACTTATAGCTTGCTACACAGCTATATTTTAGCTCTTGGAGAGGTTTCATCAATAAGAAAAAATCTGTGTAGTATAATTTGTTCTCTTATCTTCTACACACTTTTGACTCAAAAGCTTTATTAGTTTTTTTTCTTCTTCTGACACTGACAAAAATAGTGTAATGGCGAGATAAAACGCACCATTTTTTTTTTACTCA